ATGTGTAGTAAGTGACCTTATTTGCTCACGATTTGTACATGATACAAATGCAAGATGATAAGTACACATAATTGTGTAACTTTTAGAGTGTTATCTATTTTATTTATTATAGGTGTCCCCTACATTGGTTGGTTCGTACGGTCAGCATTCAATCTGTTCCTAACAGCATCTTATTGGTTATTAGAATGGTATCCCGTAGGTGCTTGGCTAGCATTCGGCAAAAAAAATTCAAAAATTTGTTTATTTCCAAATATAAACGGTTAAATATCAAGCGAAACTTCATAGATAATGTATAGATGCAAAGTAATCAAATGGGAATAATATATTTAAATGATCTTTATATATTTTAATTATGGATGAAACACGATCCAATATTGTACCATTCCAATGCAATAATGCAATGAAAAATTACCTTTAGTCGATACCAATAGCCTCCGTGGATAAAATGTATACTTATGATGCTGGGTATCTTCAGTGGAGGTCGCTGTATGTCGCGTAATATTAATTAAGTTCATTAAGTTACTTCAACGGTGAGCTACGATTAATCACAAAATACACAAACTATGAAATAGAGTGTTGAAATCATGAAAATGTACTTAAATCATAATATATGAATTACTGTGCACTTGTTATTTAATCCAGAACTGAATTTAAGTATGAACTCACAACACTAAGAAAAGTGCTTATAAAGTATTTTTACGATGTTCACATAATTAAATAATATATATAATTCGGTACAGGTCTAAAGGAATATTACATAATTAAGATGATAATTTATCGTTTCTAATATCATAATCATTAACTGCGTCTAGTAAATCGTCGAATGGCATTTTACTTCAAATATGCATCAATCTACCGGTCATTCAATCGAATGAAGCACTTTCAAGTTATTTCCTTTTTCCCTGCATACATCTGTACCTGTCAAAAATTGGTCATACTATCTCGCTGGCGAGACTATCTCGATATCCCTGTACGTTACTGGCGATAATTATCAGTCGCAATTTGTCTGGCACTGTTCTCCGCTCCGCTCCACCCACGAGCGTGTACCGTTCGAATCTCTCCCCCTTTCTCACCCTCTTCGCTCTTTCTCTCTGCGCTCTTGCGCGCGTTCATCCATTCGATGTACCATTATCCCATCTCCTGCCGCACGGCTCCTCTCCTCTTCCCGTATCCTGGCTTCGTTCTCCCTCCGCAGGATCGCAAGATCATTTTTTACGCGAGTCGCGTGATTCCATGTTCGCCGCATCTTCGATGCAAGCTGGTTAGAGGGACTCTTCTCGCGTGAGAAGTGAGCCTGCACTTCGCTTTGGCGCACGCACACGCTCGCGCGCTCGCAAGATACGGTGGCATGCCGCTGCGACCAATACAGGGAAACGCACACCTGCTCGGCGTTCACGTGCACACGGAGAGTACGGAGGTGTATGTAACACGGGTCCTGGAGTACATAATACACACAGTCATATATCCTTCTGTCCCGTAGCTACTCTCCCTCGACCCTGTCGCCTCTCAGTTCCTCTTCTCGTTCCTCGGCTCGCAACCGGCCCTTCTTGCGCGCCCCGCTTCGTGAGCTAGCGATCCTTCCCCCTTTCCTCTTCGGCATCCACGATCAGGCAGGCGTCTCCGCGCGCCATCGAGTCCTCCTCGCTCTCCTCCTCCCCGTCCCGCCACCGATGCCAGCTTGCACGACCTAAACGAGATGACTCGTCGCGAGGACAGAGAAGCTGCGTCAGAGGAGACGTTGCCGCTGCTGTGGCTGCTGAAGAAGGAAGACGAGAAAGTCCACGGAGGGGAATTAGGTATCAGAAGCTCGGAGAGAGAAAGCGAGAGGAAAGAAGATGGCCCTGCGGCCCTCGTGTTGCACAAAGAGATTCGTGAAAGCGTCTGGCTTCTAAAGCTCGATCCATACGGCTACGTGGCTGCCTGCTTCGAAATCGTTTTGCCGCCGCCTGTAAATTGGAAACCATCCGTTCCGCAATTATCGTCATCGTCGTCGATAGAACCGATTTTCCTTTTTCGGCTACCATGCAAGGAGCAATGCATAAACAGTATGATAGATAACTCCATTTGTCCAAACCAATCGAGGATCTTCAACCTCGTAGTTTGCATAATACGAGAGACCACTATTTCTATCCTAGAATACTATTTTTATTCTGTTAGTATATCTAAATGAAAATGGCATTCTTTCACGTATACACATCGAAATGGAGGGTTGGTTCCGAATAGACACGGAAACACGTTCTACGAATTAACCGATCAACAGAGAATTTCATCCATCTTTCTGCACTTGACTGGTTTCATGAACATACATATGCATACTCAGTCAACTTTCACACATACATATGTACTTACACATGCTTTCTAGCAAGTAGATGAAATATCATCTCATATCTTATTACAATGTTACTCAGTATCGATGTACACAGCCACGATGCAGTAGAGTTTCACGGAACGTACGTTTCGAGGTGTAGAGAGCGTATTAACGATAAAACTGTCTTGTTTCGCAATTCGAAGGTGAACTCTGAAGTATGAGATTCCTTCGAAACTAGGAAGACGTGCACGGGAACTATGTCAAGGTTACAATGAATATTATTCATCCTCGGAAGGATCAATCTTCGTTAATTTTTAACGCAATCCTAAATCCCTAATAACGAACGTGTCTCAAAAATAGTAACCACGTTTGCTTCAACTACTCTCAAATCTGTCTTCGGAAGTCGTCAAATCTTAATGACTACTAATAAGTACCCGAAAATATTTATCTTCTACCCACGCATCAATCTGGTATTAACAAGTTAAACTAACAGAAAAGTTTCTCGCACAAACATGCTTATAAGGTACATAAATATGATCGATCGAGTACATACATTTTTCTCCTCCATTAAATGCTCGAAACTTGGGACCGACTGTGAATATTTAGAAATATCGGCTACAAACACGAGTTTCGGGCTTCTTCTACCTTTGCCGTTGTAGAGAAGAGTAGCGAATAAAAGAGAAAGAGAAATTAATTTAAAAGATTTATATACACGCATCGCAATTGCGATTACACACTTCATCGGAAGAAATGCCCCAGTAATGACCATCGGGTATTTACCCGCAATCTCTTAGCATTTAGCGAGAATGTATGTAGTTTCTGACTTCTGCCAAGGCTCGAGCTCTGTATTTCTCTTTGCACCGTCTCAAATTTCAGTTTCGACATTCAAAATACATGTGTACACGAATATACATGTGTGATGGATACGACAGCTGATTTTATAGAGAACAGGTGTAAAGAAATACATACACGTCCGCTGAAAACTTAACCATAAGCAACTTTGTGTTTCGATAAATGATTAGTAAACACTTGAAAAATCTTTGTTCATTCATGCATACATATTGTTACGTTCTGTGAATGTACCTGATGTTTGGAATAATATGTACCCTATGCACATAGTACACACTTATACATGTATATGTATAAATGCACTTACGTTTCTACACACATAAGTAACAACGATCTCATTCTGCCGATATACATTCCCTCGATTCTACACGGCTGCTTGGAAACTACCAAAGATTATGGACGGTGGCCGATTCTCGGTGTTCGTGCAGGAGCTATTATGGGACATTATCTTGTGCAGGTGTCTGGCTGAGGAGGCGATCTCCGGCGCGCACGACAGAAATTCACGTTAGAGCCGGTAAGAGGAGAACGTTCGTTAGGCTTTCACGAGTCAAGCTAGATAGCCACGGGCATTGCGTACGATCTCCGGGCCTCCGGCGCGTATCGCATCCACTCGGACGTCGTGCCTTTTTTCCCTTCCTCTTTTCCCCCCGCACCCCTTTGGCCGTCGCCCTTCTTTTCCTCGCCCATCCTCGTTGCTAACCTCTTCCCCGGGTATCCCTTCCATCGTCTTATACCATCGAGGAACCCCTCTATTCCCTTTCACCCTCGCAACGTGTCTCTTGCTCGCTCTCGTTCTCGCTTTCTCCCTCTTTCTCTTTTTCCTTTACGCTTCGTGGTTCGCGAGGTACGCGACCGAACCGACTTCTCTCTTTCTCTGGATGGGAAACGACTGTCCTCCAATACTTTCGAGCCGGCGCAACGACGACGACGACGACGAAATGCGAGCACTCGCGGCCGAACGAAAGAAGAAAGGCGAGGGGAACTTTCTTCACAGCTATTGCGCGTTCTATTTTTATGGATCCTTTCGCCATTTCCCGTATATTAACATTAGGTATCGCGATTATCGCGAATACGGTCTATGAGTTGCGTAATTGAATGTAAATTAGAGAGCGATGGTAATTACGGACGAGCTGGATAATTGGTAAGCAAGTGTCGATTATGCTCGACGGTCGTATTATACAAAATGTCTCGCAAGCGCATTTATTGGATACGCACAGTTACATAACAGATATATATATATAGATAATACTAATATTTACTCCAGTTATTAATACTGCGAACAAGTTCTCCACCGTTTAGCATCGCCGCGGCGTTTTCCATTAAAGCGTGAACATTATACACGTGTGCATTCATCCAGATTTTTAACAGATATTGACAACGCGGAGATAATCCACACGAAAGAAACCAAGAAACCTTCGATTTTTTCGTAGTAAGAAACGAACGTCCGTCCGGTTCGCCGATGCTTTCGAGTCGACGCGGCGTAAGGCCAGGGCCGGGGACGAGCCGAGAACGACAAAGTGCGAGCAGGTATAATGAGTTCTCTCAAAGTCTCTCTATTTCCAAGATTGCATCGGAAGAGAGAAATAGTTGAATTCGTTGTTGGACGCTCGTCAATTTCTCTTATTCTAGCATACGTCTACTAGGCTATAGATTAGGAGACCCTTCAATGATACACCGATGATCTGATTACAAGGTCTTTTTAAAATCAAGGAATGATCTCAAAAGAACCGTCGATCGCACTTTCATAATAGAAAACAAAGAATCACTTAACGAAGCTTTTTTTGATAACACAAAAGAAGTAATCGTAAGACACGTTTGATCGCAATCGTGATAAGAAGTGTCCAACGAGAAATCGAAGCTGATAAAAACTATACACCCGTTACTTTGTTGGTTCATGCGGACCGTGCAGGCTGTTCAGAGACCAATTAACGTAGTTACAGGGAGCAGAGTTCGAGAACAGTGGAGGTTTTATTACGATTACGATAGGAGGGTAACGAGGTAACTGTATCAACCTCTTCGCAGTTATCCGTGTTTGTGGCAATAATCCACTTACGTGACGTTGTCCATGAACAAGAAACTGGAAGGTCCGTTTTCTTAAAACTTCATGTTTATTTTTCCCATCGAACTACGATTTAATAAGGTAACTGCACGTGTACTTATCGTTTGTTTTACATCGCGGAATGTCATTTAATATAAATCGTTTACAGAATAACTCTTGAACGATTGATTCGAGAAATCGGCCATTGGTGCACGTGAATGAATCTTTGAGATCATTATCGCTCATGCTTCCAGAAATTAAAACACGCCGATCCGCAGCAGCGCGAAGGACACTGTTTTGAAAAATACGAGCGATAGCGCGGCCACACGATCTAGTGCCTGCGTTTGTGTAAATGGTCGGACACCCGTTATATGGTTGGTCGTGGAGAGGCGGACCAGGTGGTCCGTCGGTGCGAATATCCATTATAGATTCGGCGGAGTGTAGCTGTCGTGCGATCCTACTCATTTTCCGTGTATTCGTGCGGCGTATTTCTGGCATCGATGAGACCCTCGTTCGTAAGTATTAGTGAGAGAATGCGCGTGTATTCGTAAAGGAGGCGGATTAGTTCACGAGGGCGCCAGTGTCGGCGCTCGCGGCGCCACCGGTTCATTCCGCCATCGGCGCCCGCGACGTACGGACGTGAAAAGCGCGAGCACGGCTTTCGTTTGGGCGGACAACGTGAATAAACGTGCAAACCGTGTTGTATTACGTACGCGCGTACGCAGAGCACGAGAGAAACGAACACGTAACGCGTCGTTGAAAGCGCGGTTTCGGTCGGTCGTAAACACGGTCGGGTGTTCTCGTGATAGCAAAATTAATTCGCGGCATTCGTGTGAAATCAGTGCGACGGATATCAGTGAGAATTTAGAGGAAGAGAAAGAGAGAAGGAGAGCATCGATTGTCCTTTGTGTGATCGTCGTTACGCGGCTTCTCGTTCCTCGGGACGCCACCGCGACGTGTCGTGCCGGGGCTCCAAACGAGTGAGAGAGGTCTCGTCGTGAGCTTTGGAGGCCCCAATTGCCAACGACGTCGTGTTATACCTGCGCGTCCCTCTCACAAAGTGCGGCTCGCGTCGAAGGTCTCCACGAAGGTCTTGTCTCAACCGCTAGCTGAGGAGACGTGGAATGATATTTTGTTGTAAAGGAGGTGCAATCAGGCTTCGTTGAACCGCGTCGAGACACGCGAGCGGAGCGTTCGATACTTTAGGTAAGAAGTACGCTCTGTGTATCTTTGGAATTCGGAGAAAAAAGTAGCGCTTCCGAGAACCGGGTATTCGCGTGGTGAAACAGTTCGACGCAACTCGTTTTGTTCTTAAAAGTGCGGGAGTTCGCTCGAGTCCTTGAAATTTGAGGTTGCGACACAGTTGTGTTTCGGTGACTAAACCGATCAACAGATCGCAAATTGATAGCTCAGACAAGATCGAAACAATCGTGTGGTGTTTGTTGTTTTACGCGACGCGTGTGTTCGTCTACGTACGACCTACGATCAGGAAAGTGCGAAGAAGATGAAGGGTTAGATGCGACACGACGCACGAGGAGCAAATTCATTAAGGTAAGATAGATTTAGTGCGTAAGGGATCACGAGTAACGGTACATCCTATTTCATTTTCTTATCGTGAAACGTGTTTAACCTGTGCATTCCTAGTGCGCGTCCTGCTCCGGTTCGATTTCCATTGTCCATTCTGACGGTTGGTCGCTCGGCGATCATCGAAACATTCGAACGGCTCTAACGACCGAAAGAGAGATTAACGTGATGACGTGCGCGTTGCGTGTCAAGCGTGTCATCTTTCAACACGTTTGAAATTCGTAATGTCTTTGTTTCATGCGTCGAACACGTTCTACAACGAATCGGCAATTATTTACGAACCAAGTGTAAGCGGGAGAGGAAATAATATCTTCGTGAAGGCTCCCCGATGCATCTTTAGAATTGAAATCGTGGAGAACCTAGTATGTAACGATTAAAGAAGCGCGGTGACGCAATTTTCGTGCAGGTGCAATTACATGGCAATCGCGCGGAGGCACGTCAGCAAAATCGAGAGCCGTCCTAACGGGTCTTCTTTGGTTTCGCGGAGCGCAAACGCCGTTTTACCGTTAACGACCTAAATCGACGCCGAAGAACGAGATGTGCGCTCTTTTGCGAGTTCCCCGTGAGAGCACTTCTTGCGTCGAGTGTGCTTGGAGTGGCCCTGGCCGGAGACCCGAGGATGCGCACCGACTTCGTGCTTGGCAAAAGTCTTTTCGACCGTTTAATTTGATGACTACGGTGCCACCTTCAAAGGTGCACCTGACGTTTACCTTAAGATCATCTATCATTCCGGCCGCGTCCGCGAGAACCCGCGTTCGACGTATTTCGCGTCTAAATCTCTACGCCAATGAAGGTCGGACCGCAACATTGGCGTGTAAACTTTTAAATTCCGATTATATGCTTCGGTAACAAATTGAAGTGTTGGCAACAAAAATAAGCATTATTACGTTTTCATTTTGGGATATAGGCTTTCTATACTTTACGTAATTACGGATATAGTTATACAAATTGAACAAATTTGGAACATAGTCGATGAGTTTGTCGAAAGAATCGTGAGTTCATATAATAGTTATCGATGATGGGTGATTGTCTAGGGCAAGGTAGTGGGAGAAGATCGGTCAAAAGATAATACAACGGAAGCACGTACGACGACAGTCTCTCATTCGGTTAACTTCGTCGCATTCCAGTTTTCTAGCGAAATTGCAGAGTCGTTCGAAGCGTAATCTCGATTTCCCTCCGGTGTAGCTTACATCGATGATAAATAAATCGATAACATTCGTGAACAGTTATATCCCATTTACAATTAGATACATGATCCGTTTCCTACGCAATGCGTTGTGTTTTATTTCCATGCCCCGTTTCGACGAGTTTCAATTTGTCGATTGCGACCCTTTCAGAGAATCTTCGTATGCGTTTTAGATTCGTAAAGCAAGGAAGAGGAGCAATTTTTTATTCTTCCTCAAATAGTAACAAATCATTCGACAAGAGTGACGTATCTAGAAATTGCTTAATCTCGCAACGTACATGCAATGAGTTATACGTTGGCAAGAATTGTCAAGAGAATTCGAGAATATTTTTAAGTGGATAGAGTGTGATTAAAATGATCCACATCGGTTTTTTACAATGTTGCCTCCGATTGTTTGTTTAACGTACTGTTCAACGTACGTATATATCTGCTGCATTCGTAAAACATAAATCCTCTATAAACCGCGATTATATTACGTGTCGTCTAAAAATCTAAACAAAATTTATAAATTGTCCAGTTTCTTCTTAAAAAATTTGCTGATTCATTCATTCTATTCTACGATCGTTCTCATGTTATTTCGATCGTAAAATTAGTTATACATTCAAAACACAATGAACATCGAAGTAAAATAGCGCGAAGATAAGAGGGGCGTATCTTCCGTGGAAGGATCGATCGTCTTACGAAATCGAAACGTGACTAATCGCGGAAGAGGAGTCGAGCTTAGTGTCGTGCCTTACGAAACGATGCCTCGCGTCGTACGGTCGATTCTACATAGCTACTAGGATAATGGTCGTTATGCGAACAATATCATTATGGAAAAACGTGGAAACTTGCTGGATTCAGCGAATGTAAAACGCCGCGTTCACCCTTCCAGCTGATGAATCTCGTGACTAACCAGCGCAATCCGCCGAGCGCAATTAGCATACATGAATAAAGAATCTATGAATCCTTTAAGTCAGTCGGCACACGCATGAATGATTAGATGTTTGCGTATCGTCCACGGAACGATGCGTAGGCTGAAAATCCGCTGTAATTGAGTTCCAAAATGATTTGTAGGAAACTGAACAACTATAAATATTTCTATATCGAGAAGAGAACACGAAGTTCAGAAATAAATTTCAAGAATCGCATAGCTCAGGATTGATCGTTTGCAATGAAAAATATTTACTTACAGATTAACGCGATATGAGAAAGGATATGTACACGGGATACTTTTTGTCTAGTTCTTTTTTTTATTCATGCGAGCGTCAGATCGCGAGTCGAGTGAAAGGAAACGAAGATTGTACACAGGGTTCGTTGTTGAAATCGTATATAGTTAAACGGAGAGCACAATTTCCAGGCTATCTCAGTTAGTGTCGTAGGAAGTAAACTTTCATACCCGTTGACCTGGTGCTTTTACTGCTTTCGACAAATTGCTCGGCGTCGTAGCGACCTTGTTTTATTGCGAGCCTAGTAATACCTGGTCTATTCAAAATACGAATTATAGTCTTACAGTATATAATAACGAGTGTTAGCCACTCGATCGTAATTCCATCATTTAACATTCAGCCCTTGTTAAACGAGAAATATTTTCTAATCGTCATTGAGAATACATTGTCTATGAAATTATTTAGAAAAAATTATAATGGATATTTCGTTATTTGTGGTTGTAGAAATCGTGAGACTAAATGGTGTCCGATTTTTTAAACAGAGACAAAGAAGACGAGGAGGACGTGTCTTGTATTTAAATTCAAGATACACGCGGGTAGTCTAGCATAATATTTCCTATCTTGCTACGACGCCCCGTAAATTGATCGAGGTTACGTTGAGCGTATTTCGTTCTAGTGGAAAAAGGACTCGTATACGCTTGGAACGATTCTCAGCCGCTTATTACCGGGCTTCGTTCGTACGAGCTCGGTCACGCAACGCGCCACGCTGGGTATCGTGGGACTCGTTGCTTGTCGAATGAACTCGTTTACGAACTCGGAAAGAGGACCGACTGTATTGTATCGCCGCCACGGTCGTGTCCACGTTTTCGATAAAAATCGATCGTCTCTTGCCGCGTAGTCGTCGTCGTCGTCGTCAACTCCGTCGCCAGGTTGAAAAACTTCAATGTTCGCGCGTTGTACGAGACGTTACGTGCATCGCGTCGCGTCGGTTCGACCTTTCCCCAAGCCTCTTGCAGAGGGGCAAAAAGGGTCCGTCTCTGTGGGTCTTTCTGTCTCTCACTACACCACCGTATCGTCCTGACTCCTTCTCCATCTTTTTCTTCGCACGCCTCCCTTTTCTTTCTATCTGCCGGCTCGCCCTATCTCTGTTCATTTCTCCACGCTCCGCTCTTTTTCTCCGTTTCTCCCTCCTCTGTTCTTTCTCGCACGAACGACAACTCGCTCTCGCAGAGACCGACGAGAGAACGGGGCGAGTTCCCGAAATAATCGTGCGTATCGATCCTCGCGCGGGGCGTGCAGGGTGAATTTATTCTCGTGCACGGGGAGGACGAGAGAGTGAGACCGACTCGTGCAAGCTCGCTTCGTTACTTAATCGTTCCGCGTTAGAAACGAAGGGTATGTAGTAAGTACGTATAGCTGTGGCAACTATAGCGACGCGAAGGAGGCGGTAGCGTTTCCCGCTTGTTTGTCCCGGGAAATATATAATCAGGCACTGTTTGCCGGTGACACGAGGAATAGAACGAATACTCGTTTGAAAAATATTTCACAGGGATAATTACGTCATTTGTTATTACGTGTTTGTCCGCGCCGGATGACCGCGAATGTCGGACAAGACGTGTGTTGCGTAGTAATGACCAAATTGGCACCGGCGTCTTTGTTCGATTAGTCGTGGTTTGAATCTCTTCCGTGTATCAAATGTCTACCGTAATACGCATTTACATATCAGTTTATCCTAAAAATTGACGAAATTCCGCCGATACACATGAAATTTCATCCGTGATAACCTGGAAGAAGCTGATGCTACGTTTAACAAGAACGGCGTGACACGTGGAACCGTCCACTGCTCGACCGTTTCCGTAGAGTAGCGTATCGTGCTCGCAACCGTGCCATATTTCATGAGCATAACTGGATCCGTGAGACGCAACTATAGTTTTACGAAGCCCTCCACCTTGTGCGTCGTATTCTGGCGCGAAGTCAAGAGAACATAATCGTGAAATTCGCTCGATCATGGTAGAATAACTGTTCTAATAGTTGGCCACTTAAAAAAATACAATTCTAACATTAAACACAACTGATTTAAATGTTTATAACTACTCGCTCGAAATTCTATTGTACGAAGCTAAGTATTGGCTGATAATTCGACTTTTTCAACTGTAAATGATTTTATTATTTTCTATTTCTAAGCAGTTCATGTTCAGGGAGGGACGAAATAGGGTACACTTATCCTACGCGCTGAACAGTTCGCGAGACGAGTAATCCTAGGGAAAGAATGCTCGGGGAGTATGTATTTAACGGTGAATTTTCGCGAATGTCGTTAAAAAAACGCGACCCGCGTCTTACATCCCGCTACTCTCATTTCTTCGTTATTTTTCCCGGGTCTCTAGTCCGGGTAACGACTGGTCTCTTGTTTTTGTCAATTTTTTTCTCTTCTCTGCGGCGTCGTGGCGGAGAGAGCAAAACCCTTGCGCGTTTTTTCGCGGGACATTGTTCGGCGCGCGCGTTTTGTCCGCACGTCAGCCATCACGGCGTATTGTATTCATTGTTTAGAGGCTGTTGGAACTCTCGGGAGAGAAGGTGGAGAGAGCGAGCGAGCGAGAGAGAGAGAGAGAGAGGGAAGGGTGTCTCGTAGTTCG